CGTTTGAGGGGCCCGGGGACAATGGGGTGCGCCTTCCCCGCATGGGCAAGCCAGCGTTTGAGGGGCCCGGGGACAATGGGGTGCGCCTTCCCCGCGTGGGCAAGCCAGCGTTTGAGGGGCCGCGGTAGGAGGAAACTCACTGGTCAGCCTGGGCCTCTGAGGCGTCTGCTCCGTGGCTGCCCAGAGCCGAGCTCTTGAGGGCTCCCTGGTGCCCCGTGCCCCAGGCCAGGCCCCCACATCCCGTTGGCGTGCCTGCACCATCCTCAAATGGGCTGCTCCAGAGCCGGGGCTGCACGGCTGGGACCACACCGCAGGGGAGGATGGTGCTTGGCTGGACTTGCTTCCCCCTTCCCCTAACCCCTCTGGCCCAGCACTGCTTGAGATCCCGGTTCCAGAGCAGCTCCAGAACTTTCTAAGGCTTTGTTTATTTATTCCAGATTGGACCACCCCTGGGAACGGAGGGTGCCCTGCCCGTGGCTAAGGTGAACCGTTAGGTGCTTCGTTGGTCACAGGCTTAGAAATGGGTTTCCCACAGGAATCCCCATCCTGGGTGGTCGGCAGGGGGCCCTGGCGTCTTTTTCACGTGACACATCCAGCTACACAGCCCTCTAGCCGCCAAAGTGCCAGTACCTGCCCACCGCGCGCCAGCTACCCTCCCAGGCGCTGGAGAGAGAGGAGGCGTGCCAGGGGTAGGTCCTGTCGCAGGAGAGCCCACGCGCCAACACACAGGAAGTGGGAGGTGCCAAGCCAGAGGGTCTTCAGAGGAGATGGCAACTTGGGGACTGTCTGACCTGCCCCTCACTCCTCAGAGGAGGAGAATGAGCCCCAAGAGGGCGCTCAGCCACGGGGGCTCCCACAGTAAGCAACTGTGCCGTTCACTAAACACGCGTTCACCCAGCACCTGCTCTGTGTGCGGGCCGGGCCGCGTACTGGAGGCGCCACAGGCAACAGGGAGGACGCGGCCCCTGTTGTTCAGGAGGCTAGCTGTGCTGGTGGCTCCCAGTCCAGAGACACTTTAGAGTCCGCTGGGGAGCTCAAAGAAACATCCCAATGCTGGCACCTCAGCCGCAGGGATTCTGATCGGCTTGGTCTGCGTGGGCCCAGGTACGGGTATTTTCAACGAACTCTCCAAGTGGTTCTAGCATTCCGGGGGACAGACAGACAAGAAGCAAAGTACGCCCCGAGATCTGCAGTGTGTGAGGGACGTGCAGGAAGCAGGAAGCTGAGCAAGGACGCGGTGGGTGGGGGGCCGCCCAAGGTGAGAGCTGCGGGGGTGCCCTGTGGCTCCGGTGGGCATTAGGGGGTCCTCATGTGGGACAGCAGTGGGACACAAGGGCCACCCTGCAGCCCCATAGACCCCTGCCCTGGAGCCCCAGCCCCCCAACGCCCCACGGACACCCTGTTTCTGAGTGCCCCCAGGCCATCGTTAGAGTGGTTGGTAAAGCACACTTCCTCGTACCATCTGTGTTTCTGGATCCCAACGCTAATCCTGTGAGATGGGCAGGCTCAAGATGAAGAGTTCGCCGACAGAGAGGTGGAAACTGGCTCAGAGCAGCGTGTGACCCGCCAAAGGGCACACAGCTAATAACTGGATGTGGCGACGCCCGTGGGGCTCACCCACCTCTGCTTACTGCCCCCACCCCCTCCTCCCACACCAGGGACCCGAAACCGGCGGGGACGTCAGCACCCGGGGACCAGCACCTTCCTGCCAGGCTGGGCGCCGTGATGTGCCGTCTCCTGTAACATGGAAGGCATACAGTCTCCCTCCCCGTGGGGGAGTCAGAGAGGTCTGTGACTCGGCGGCGTCGCTTGGGTTCCTGCCCACAGTGAACCCGGTTACTATAGTAACCCGATGCAATTCTTTATTATAGGGTGCACGGTTTTCGTTTCCTATTTGAAGAGTCTGGCCAGCAGTCACGTTGCCATGGCTTGGCCTGTCGGTGGCGGTTAGGAGCAGAGGGGACCCACCCAGCAGCCATTTAGGGCTTTTCTGTGTCTGCAGATAGTGAAAGGCTGTGTCTGGACCACCACCCGCCGCCGCCCCGGCTCAGCTGCACTGGGGACGGTGGGAGGGGAGTCCTGGCGGCGTGCTGGGCTGGGTACCTTCTCCTGGCTAGGGATCACACCTTCCTCATGAGAGCCACTGAGCCCCATTGGACCCACAGTGCCTCCTAGTTCCCCTTGTGGAACAGCTCAGAGCTGCTTTGTTCAGCCACGACTCCTCAGGTGGGACCTCCTTGAGGACGAGGCCTGGCCCCTCTGTGGGCCCCAGCAGCCGCCAGGGCGAGCCACACAGCAGGTGCTCACCTTCAGCCGCAGGGGTCTCAGCTGCAAGGAGGGCGAGTGTCGCCGGGCGGCCGTGAGCCCGGCTACCCGTGGTGCTGACGGTAATCACAGGAGGGCTTCCCGGCAGCCAGGCGGGCTTCTGACCCCGGTGCACACGCACCCAGAGCAGCCTCACAGAGCCGGCCGGCAGCGAGGGTAGCTTGAGGTACACAGAGGTTGGCTAACATACCCCGATCACAGAGCTAGTTCGCACTGGGGTCGGGCTCCTGACCCAGGGCCCCCGCCGTGGACACTCTGCTGCCTTGTGTGGGGCCAAAGTGCGGCCGGGGCACACGGACCCCTTCTCCGCAGAGGGCGAGAAGCTGCGCAGCCCCGGGGTCGCTCCGGTAGGAGGCACCGCCGTTCACCTCCACACCCCCCGCCAGGGCCCGGCAGGGGCGCAGGGCAGGTTTTAGCAGGACCGGCGCCGCCTCCTCCTGCTCACCGGACAGCCAGCTCGGGGGCGCCTTCAGGCAGGAAGGGGGCCCGGGAAGCAGTTTGGAGAGGCCAGCAGGGCCCCGAGCGCACAGGCCAGGCCTCCCCTGGGGGCCCCGAGGTGAGCCCCGGCCACTCTAACGGGCTCTCTGCTCCCGCCAGCTCTTCGTGATCGACAACGGTGCGGACGACTGGCGGATTGCCATGACGTACGAGCGCATCCTGCACATCAGCCTGGAGATGCTGGTGTGCGCCATCCACCCCATCCCCGGCGAGTACAAGTTCTTCTGGACTGCCCGCCTGGCCTTCTCCTACACGCCGTCGCGGGCGGAGGCCGACGTGGACATCATCCTGTCCATCCCCATGTTCCTGCGCCTGTACCTGATCGCGCGCGTCATGCTGCTGCACAGCAAGCTCTTCACCGACGCCTCGTCTCGCAGCATCGGCGCGCTCAACAAGATCAACTTCAACACCCGCTTCGTCATGAAGACCCTCATGACCATCTGCCCGGGCACCGTGCTGCTGGTGTTCAGCATCTCGCTGTGGATCATCGCCGCCTGGACCGTCCGTGTCTGCGAAAGGTAGGCCTGTGCGCGCGCGCTCCCGGCGGCTGGGGGCCGGGGGCGGGGTTGGGGGGGGGGGGGGGGGGGGGAGGCGCACACGTGCGTCCCGGGCGGCTGGAGGCCCGGCAGGTGCCCCTGGGGGAGGAGCCAGGCGGGGCAGGGCGGGCCAGGTAAGCGAGGAGCCGCGCGCACGACGTGTTCTGTTTCTCTGTAAGCCGGTGTGCGCACGCGTTCTGTGCCTGCTTCCCTCGCCCTTTCTCACCCACAACACTTTGCAGTTCTGTATTATCGCTTCCTCTGGGACGTTAATGACGCTCACTAGCATTTTCAAGGCTTTGGGAAGTCCTGCAGTAAGGAAACTGGTTTAATTTTGTTTAGTCCAGATATTCTCAAAAGTATTCACCCCAAAACCCTTTTCATTACACTGTTGATGCCTCGCTGCCCGCCGTGTGGGCCACACACCAGCAGCATCAGCATCGCTGGGGACTCGTTAGAATGTGGAGCCTCAGGGGTCATCCCAGAGCTACTAAGTATAATTTGCATGTTAACAAGTTCACCTGATGATTTGCATGCACGTAAAGTTTTGAGAAGCATGGTGTGGCAGGAACAGACTTTGGGAAACACCATTTCAGGAGCTGGTGCTGGGCAAGCAGAAGGATGCGGCCTCTTAGAGACCCACCTGTAGCGCAGAGCGCCGGCCCCTCTGACATGCCCTCCCTGAGGCTCAGGGCCGGACAAGGCCACCTTCCTCCACCGTCACCCCCAAGCTGCCCTTGAGGACTCCTGTCCCTTTCCAGCTAGCCCTGGATATTCATTTTAATCTGATTTCCCATGTGGAGTCTGAACATGTCTGTTAGAAAGCTGGATTCTCTCCCTAAGTTGCTGTGAGGCCTCTGGCAAGTCACTTAACCTCTCTGGGCCTTAGTGTCCTTATTTTCAAAGGAGGATCTCTTGAGAAGGAAGGAAGAGAAGTCTTGAGTGGTGGGGAGGCCCGGGCAAGCACCCTGGGCAGTTTGCACGGACCTGGCAGTCCCCCTCAATCTGCTGTGTTGCCAATCTTCCAGGCACCGGTGTCCCAGCAGAAACAAAGCGAGAGACACAAGGGTGGAGGAGAGTTAGCTAAAAACGTCTCACGTGGGTACGTCGAGCCAGACTTCCCCCCTATTTGGAGATGTTCTGTTTGCGGATATTTGGCCAGCAGACACACAGTCAGACCAAGAGGGCTTTCTTCTGCAGCCGCAAGGGCCCCTAAGCATGACAGTGTCAGTCCCTGCGAGCCAGTGCCTGGTGGGGAGACATTTCTTGTGGGCAAAGCCCCAGGGACACATGATGCCCACCTCCTCAGAACCTCGCCTTGTGGTGGCTGGCACCACAGCATCTGCTCGGGGAGGGGGGGGGCTTCCTGAGCCTTTCCCGGGGAGCAGACACCCTCTCTGCAGTCAGGAAAGCTGGTGCTTGGGTTCCAGCCCTAAATCCCTCGACATACTCCATGCTGAGCAACATCGTGCCGGCCACTGTACCTCTCTGGGCCTCGGTTCTGTCACGTGCAAGCTGGGGTCGTAAACCCTACTTTCCAGGGTTTGTTGTTGGAGAGAAACGAGGCAGCGTGTGGGCCTGCCCACTGCAGCACAGTGGTAGTGGGAATCAACCGTCTTAATGGAGAGCTTCTGGTAACTCTTGGGAATTCTGTGGCTGCTTCGTAGAATGAGAACCAGCCAGTGCCTACCACAGGTAGGCCCCTGCCTTCCTGTTCTCCTTCCTAATTGATCGGAGCCGAGTCTTCCAACCACTGTGATTGAATTTGCAAAGCCCTTTCCGGTGTTTGAAACCTTCCACGTCCTCATGTCAACCCCGCTTGGCATGGTTCAGACAAGCACTTGTGCTGAACGCGGAGCGAAGCATCTGCAAGGGAGTTTCATTGTTTATTGAACCTGACACAAAGTGGTGACTATTTTTTACCCGAAAATAAGCATGCTTCCAAGCGTATACTTTGCAAAGTACTCTGTTGCCTTTTATTTGGCGTTGAAGGGCCCGCCAAGGCTTCTGAGCTGAGGCTGGGTCAGCTGGCTCCCCTCTGCCCACCGCACGGCCGCAGTCCCACGAAAGCCACAGAGAAACAACGAGTAAATCCCAGGCCTCGTGCCGGCCCCCACTCCTATGGAAAGCCCTTCGACCAAACAGCTTTTGTCCAGATGGAACCCGAGGACATCACAGCCTCGGTGTGCGTCATGGTGACGCCTGCGTTCCCTGGCTCGCCTGCCGGTCCTGTGACATGCTTATGCGGGTCCCCTCCGTTGCCTGTGGTGGAGGTGCCGCAACCGTCCCCACGTCGGAGCTGTGGGAGCGGACAGCAAGCAGCGCCCTGAGTCGCAGGGCTAGGAAGTGCGGAGCCAGTGTGAACTTGGTGCATGTGTGTCGTCTCCCCCCCGCCCCCACGCTGACGCTCGAACTCACAAGGACGCTGTGGCCTGGCCTGTCCTGGGGGCTCCCGGCCCGAGAGTCTCAGGGCCGCTCAGGCTGGCGCTTAGATCCCAGGCCCCTGCTCTTTGTGCCCTTGCCCTTGATCACTGTCCTCGGCACTGACCTCATGGTAAATTCACATACAGCCGCTGTGCGCCACCCGTGTGCCCACTCTGGACCTCTCGCCTTCCCGCAGCTGGGGCTGGTGGTGGCCGTGGAGCAGCTCTTCAGAACTGCCCAGGCTGAAGGGAGTGGCCTCGGCCAGGTCAAGGGCCCTGCCCCGGGGCCACGAGCATCCAGGACCGGGCAGTGTAGGAGCGTCAAGGCTCAGGCTCCTCGCCTCCTGCAAGATGGTCCCCACAGGACCTTCCCAGCTCCAGGGGCCCTGAAGGGTCCCCCGAGGCCCCCTCTGACTGCCTGCCCTTCATCTTCCCCTCCACCCTACCCGCTGCTCCCCCCGGGGGCTGATGCTGAGAACTGCCCCAGTAAAGCTCCTGCGTGAGACTCTTTCTCAGGAGCCTGGCCTACGGAGCTGTGAAAACATGTATAAATAAGCATGTTTTCTGCTGCTCAGGGAAGCACTTCTCTTTCGGTGACCAAGCAGTTTCTTTTAGAATCCAGCGTAGATGATCACTGTCCTTTCCCAGCGCCCAGCACTAGGGAAGGGGGGAAGAGCCCTTGATGCAGGAGCCATTCACAGACTGGACGGAAACTGGACACGGGGCCGTGCTGGGGGGACAGCAGCAGCAGGACCAGGCAAGATGTGGCTCAGCTGACCAGAGGATGAGTCTGGCACCTCAGTCGGCAGAGAGGGAACGTGACAGGTTCTAGAATACTCCTGCTTGCTGATGCCCAGAGCGGAGCTAGTCCACATTCCGGGTGCCTTTCATCAGCCTGGACTTATCTGGTTGTATACACACACTTCTGAAGTTGCTATGGAGACCCCTCTTTAGCGAGATGCATTGTAAAAGGCATTTCTCATATCTTCGGTTGGCTTTTATGTGACAGTAAAGGTTTTTCACGTTTCCCCTTCTGAGGAAGAAGGAGTTAGCAATCACGCAGCACCGTCTGCTCTGGGGAGGGCAGCTCCCGGTTGCCAGGACGGCCCTGACAACACAGGCTTGTTTTCCTTGGACACCCCAGAGCGGCCTTACATCACCGGCTGTGGGCCTGACAGTTGTGGCCCTCCGCATTCTCTGGGATTCTCCTGGCTACGTGCCCGCCTCCCACGGCCGCCCAGAGCCCATCGGAGGAAGCTCCTCATTAAACACCGTGTCGTGCGAGCAGGCTGGCTGTGGAGAGCCCTGTGTTCGGGCCGCAGGCTGCAGAAGTGGGCTTTCCTGGCCCGCCCTCCGCAGAGGCCAGCTCCTGGGGAATGTTTATCTCCCCGCGGGAGGCACAAAGGTCTCGCAGAGCATGGATGCAGCAAACCGTCTTGTGAACCAAGCCGGGTTTTGTAAACCACCTCCAGCCTCTTGAACGGAATCCCTTTGGACTATTCCTCCTGAGGCTCCAAGCTCTGCACACAGCCAGCCTGTCAACAGGTCTTCAGTGGTGACAGTGTGAATTTTCATCTATTTCTACATATTCGTATTTTCATGAGAAACTGGATTCTAGAAGCCCTGACCCTGGAACTGAAGGAAAACAGCTACGGGCCCCTTCTTTCTCTTGTTCAGAGCCACCCTTCCCATTGCAAGAGATCAGGAGAGGCTTCCTTCCTCCACCCCCATTGCCCATATCCGGGCGGCACCAGCCAGAAGCCAGGAAGTGAGAACAGCCCCCTCCTCTGCATGTCCTTCCCACAAACTCCTGCCACCTCTGGCAGGGGGCCTCAGCTCCAAGAACCGAGTAGGGACACAATCTACAGTGGGACCCACGGTGTGGGGTTGACACAAGCCCCCAGGCCGAGCCCTCGTGGGCCGGGCAGAGCTGAGAGCAGGGCTGTGGTTTCTCGCGGGCCCCTTTGGTTGGAGGCACAACCGCTGGTGCGGAGCGCACACCGAGCCCCACTGGGGCGACGGGAAGACGCGATCAGAGCTTCTCTTCATAGTGACTGTGATCACAAAACTTAAGATTTAAATCCAGAAAAAGATGTATTTATTTATTCATTTGAGAGAGAGTGTGTGTGTGGGCAGGGGGGAGGGCAGAGGGAGAGGGGAGACAAGCAGATTCCCCACTGAGCCTGGAGCCACAGGAGGGGCTCGATGAGGGGCAAACTCACGACCCTGAGATCATGACCTGAGCCGAAATCAAGAGTCAGATGCTCAACCAACTGAGCCACGCAGGCGCTCCTACAGAACTGAAGCTTTTAAGTATTTAATAAGCGAGTAGGCAGTAATACATGTGTGTGACTAGTAATAAATATACATATAGCAGAGGAGGGTACATACTCAAAATCTTTGTACTAATAGGAGTACATGGTTTCAGAAGCTTGCAAACCACTGCTTTGGGGTATCCGAGGACCTGTTAGTGAGGACAAGAAAGTACCCGCCATGGGGGCACCTGGGTGGCTCAGTTGGTTAAGCGACTGCCTTCAGCTCAGGTCATGATCCTGGAGT